TATTAATTAAACTGATTTCAAAAAAGGTATCAAAAATCATGACAGCTAACAGTCAAAAAAACGAAAGATTTAATAGCATGCTCACATGATTTATCCCAGACAGATTCGGGTCGGTAAGAAACGATTTCATTCTTTTCCAACCCGATTTTTGTACATCGTGACTTGAACATATTTGTTAATTCTTCATCATCCATTTCACCAAATAATACTATCTTCACTCTGCAAATATCACCAGTTCTTCCCAAGATCACAAAGTTTCTCAATTCTTCGCTATGCGAAAAATAAAGTAGAAAAATATCAATCACGGATTGATCGCTGTAATTGGGAAGCATAAAAGTTAGAATCACTATAAAACCTTCCACTCCACTCAAAATTAATAATTCGAAACTTTAAATCGATTTTGCCTGAAAGGAGAACTAACTGAAAACGTCCTCATTTCAAAAATGACTCATTTAGGAAGACTGCTATTTCATCGACTCGACTCTTACTGATCAAGTCTCAAACTTAACGCAGCAATTAAGAAATCCATTCCATCCCGTCGACGTCACACGCAAACACATAAGACCTGTGCGAAACTTTCCTTTCAGACTTTTCGTAAGTAATGAATTGAATTCGAAACTTGATTCTTAACTATCTATTCTTGATCGTAACATAAAAATTTCATTCGTCGCTTTTTTTCGCAAGGTCTGGCAGAATAAGCGGAATGATCTATATGGATAGGTGTTAAGTATCATATACTTTGGCCATTCCATATGTTAGTGAATATCTGCCTAAGCGATCGTTACATAGCCTAGTACCCTAAACTAAATATAAAAAGATCAATTTCAGGCTAGTACAATAAACTGGACACAACATAATCATGGGAAGCAATTACATGTGGATCGTTTCAGCAGGCAACGAAAGGTTCTGCAAAGTATTACTTAAGTAATCCATCTTATTTACACTTTTCATGGCATGAATCATTCCCACTAACTGTTGAAGAAATCACTGCTACTGAAATTGGGTGACATCAAACTATTGTTTGTTTTGAAAGTTTACTTTTAGTATATTATGGAAATTTATAACGCACACAGTGAAGCGAATGATCGAAGAGCAAAGTAAAGAAGAGGTTGTGTATCGATAATGGAAGCGGAAAAGTAAGAAGAGTAAGAAGCTTTTCAGCTTTTCGAAGGATGGAAGAAAATGTTTTGAGAAGAAAGGTTGGAGATCAGCTGGACAGTAATATTACTAACTGTATAAATTATAGTCTACAAATGCATTTTCCCTCACGGGAACCTGCTTCTGAAAGATCCAAAAAGGTATATGCAAATATGTTATTATGGTTCACTTTGATTCCGGTAAATTTCCTCTTAAAAATTTAATATATGGAATTTTCACGAAATATGCATGCCATGTTGTGAGAGAAATGCAGTATGAATAGGAAAGAAAGCAGACACATTGTGAAATGTTCCGTAATTTGACCACTCTGTATGGAGGGGAGACATGCAGCGGACGTGAACACATTCTATCACGTAGTAGAATTTACACATACATTATCGCTCTTTGTGTCCTTTTGATTGCGAAAATGGCATCATATTCCTTCCATAAGAAAGCTAAATTCTTCAAGAAAAAATTATAATTGAAACCCGAAGAGTCAAAATGATTGCTCTTTTGTGACTGTTTCATTAATGAAAATTTATAACAGATTTTATTTTTTAACAACTTAAGCAAATCCTTACAGATATTCATTCCTGTTATGTCTGACAGCAATATAAACCAAATAAATAATTCCTACCATCCAATGAACAGGATAAGTTCGATAAATCCATTCACATCGTTAGAATTTCTGGACCATCGGAAAACATAATTCTCCCAGTTGTTCCAGCAAACACGACTTTTTGTAAGAAACATAGAGCTCTTTCTTCTCTAAACTTATTACGGATTTTCTGTTTTGCTTGCAAGTTCAGGAACAATGACTGATTGTTAAATAAGTCAAAATGTAACTGATGGGATACAAACATTCATCTTTATATTTAAAAAAAATGTGCATCTCCCATCATGTTACTATTTTCGATGTGTGTGTATGTTTGTCGATTTTAGGATCGATAATGGGTCTCAAGAATCGAAATCTCTGTAAGTCCGTGAAAAACTCCTTAATCTTCGAAATATCACCGGAAATTGAGAGTTGCTTCAAAATCATTATATATATGAATGAAATATTTTAATGTTACACAGGCAAAAGTATCCTGAATTCATAAGATTCAATTAATACTTGTAAAATTTTTAGAAAACAAATAGCAGGCAACAATGGAACAAAAAAAATATATTCACAGATGAAATTGAAAGTTAACAAACACAGTTAAACCTAAAATCAACGGAATGTTAAACGAGAAACAGTTCAACCATATACATAAATTAAAATTTTGATCAGACTGTATAACATTTCATAGGAGAGGATAAATTAACTCTCCTATTCCAAAATTCTAATTGTCAGAAATTCAACAATCGGCAATTAAAATGTGTAGTTCAAATTAAAAAAAATCGCAACATAAGCAAGCAGTGAGGCCAAAAATCTGAACAATGTAGGCTAAAGAAAAAAGCAAAATAATGAGAGAACTTATAAGGTTTTGATGAAAGCGCACAGAAATGCATCACTACACTTTGGGAAATGCATTACTTTACAACAATAAATTAGCGTTGCAATTTCTTTGCATGAAAAAAATATGTACAATAATAAGACGTTAAAGTTCTTAAATTCAACAATCAGCAATTAAAATGTGTAGTTCAAAAAAATCTTAAAATTTAGGAAATATTATCGTGATGTGGCAAGAAAAATCAACTGGTTCACATAATGTTTGCATCCCCATCTTCATTGTCTTCAAAATCGCTCTCATCTTCAAAGTCAATAATTGGTTCACCCATTTCGTCAATGAGCAATTCATTCAATTCTCGATGGAATTCAAAAAAGTTGTGAATTTCAACATCATCCATCATCAATACGTGTGCCGCATCATCGTTAGGCATTACCCAAAATTCTGCTTCTTCATCAAAGTTGAATCTTGGATCTAACTGAAAGAATAAGAATCATAACAAATCAGTTCCTCTAAGTTGACTGGATCTAACCATCCCCACATCAACTTATTTCAGTCAGATTTATATAATGAGTATTTGAAAACGACAAGAAATTGCGAACATTTTTTTAAGTCAAAATGATCCCGACATGAAAGATCATAATGTCACACAGAATTAATTTATAAAGAACATACCAATAGTGGATGTTGCCTCTCAATAAATTCACGAATAAACGGATCGTTTTCCATTCCTTCTATCAATTCATTCACATCAGCACCTGATCCACCATGCGCCTCATCCATATGAGCATAAATTTGGCTGCTTTCTTCAGCCTGTAACATCTACATCAGAATATACAGAGATAGCACAATCAAATAAAAAGCAAATCATTGTTTCCGGTGTAACAAACATATGTAAGCAAATGGCAACTCACAGAAAACATGCAAATCCAGCAAAAGTGTTGTTTGCATCGTAAGCACTGCATATGATTGCATCCTCCGAATTTTTCAATAACACTTTGGCAATTTGGATTTGGACATATTCGTCGTCCTTTCTGATCCTCTCTAAACTGATGTGTTGGTAGCTAGAGGAATCTTTTTTAGGATTACGATAGTCAAAAATATCTGACACAAAGCTATAAAGATTAATTGTATCGTAAAAGCAAGAAGAGTAGAAAAACTACACAGATTAAGCGTCATCTCTTGAAAGACGCTCATGAAAAAAAGCACCACAAAGCTCTCTCATGTTCTACTTAATTACCGTTCATTATTCTATTGATGACTACTGTTATATTCTTTTAATTCTGTTAGTGTTACAGTTTCAATTTTCGTCGGATTTTTTTGCTTCATTTGACAGCGTTCTTTCATCATTTAATTCCAATTTTATGTACCATTTCTCACTTTCAAGAATGCTTAATGATTACAACGTCGCGAACTTATAATTTTACTTTAGGTTAATAAAGAAAAAATATCAAAATTAGAGTAAGCAAAGAAAAATGAAACTTGCCGTATCCATTTCCTCACTGATTCATCAGCGTTAACTCTTAGCCTTGCATATTCCTCACACGTCATTGATTCGTGTTCTTCCCTTCCACATTTAGTGCATTGTATACGACCACATAATCTACACTGACCCAAACCAGCATCGGTTGTAACCTTACGTATTTATTTTAAAAATTATTAGTGATAAGTGTTAAAATAATCTAAAAAGTCCATAACAACGTAGCAAACTGTCGCAAAAAACCAAAAAATGTAAGAGTAACTAACACGAAGTATGCGAATAACTAACAGGATGTAATCCTCGACAATCAGGAGTTAGGCAATGCTTATATAGGTCTCCATGACGTTCAATGAAATAAGCAAGAGAAGCGTCTGATAATGACTGTAATCTTTGAGGGTCATCATCTTTATTGCGATTTAAGTCTCCAAGCACAAGAATCTCCAAATCTAGCCACGTTAATGGTTTCTCACAAAAAGCGCAAGCAATCGGGAAGTTGCGCATTTCAAATGATGCTTTCAGCTGAATTAATTAAACACATGAAAAGAGATTAAACGCAGTAATCTCTATAGAAATCCTAATTGACTGCAGTAAACAAAAATTTAGAACACCACTGCTAATGTTCAAATCACAATAATTATCATACTGGATGAAAGTTATAATAATTGCTATCAACAAATTTATAAATATATGCAATCAAGGGATAAAAGAAAACAATACGACAAATGATGAAAAAAAAATAAAATAACAGTGATATACTGCTATTTTTCAACGAATACACATGGAAATCTTCTGAAGCATTAACTTCAAAATATTCGAAAAACAATTTACCTGCATGTTTAAACATGATTTACAAGCATAATGTCCACACGCTTCCAGACAATAGTTTTCCAAATCAGCAGGACAAAGACAAATAACACATTGTGGTACTCCGACTTCATTAAAAATGGTTTCTGAAGATTCCCTCGATTGAGTGCTGTCAGAAATAGAATGAAGCATCTTCTGAAATGAAATAAAAATAATTAACCGATTTCCGATATGCAAAACACAGAAAAAAAACTTGAGTAAAATTTTGCTTATGATAGATTTTTTCCACAGAATTTTCATATGATGAGCTTTTTCTTAAAATGAGATTGGATTCCAATCAATCTGATTTTAGTGAGACAAATTCAAAAAAAAATGTAAGAACTAATTTACTCTCAATTTTGATAAGTTCACGACGGTAAATGCCTGAGTATTTTAAACTTTCGGATTCAAATAATTTTGTTCACCACACTAGAAAATTATGAGTTTCCATTTGTGAAGACAAGAATTTTATAACACTGACTAAAAGCTCTTGAAATTGGGCTTCTTTGCCAACGAATAATAGTTCGCGCCTGACAATGTTAGCATCTAAATGTACTCCATGACCAAACTTTTTCTCCAGTGAACAAAGATCATAATTATTTTGAGCCAGAAGAGCTTTCAATGTTCCTGGCTGATAATTCGGTGTTTGCAAAATTAAAATCTGTCTAACATCTGCATCTAACCTAGAATATATATATATATATTTCAAATAAGTAAAATAAAATTTATAAAATCCAGCAATAATTCAGAAAAACTGTAATATTTAATATTCACTTACACAAAATTTCCCAAAAAAATGAACAAATAATTGCAGAAAACAGTATTTCTACCTCAACTAGCAATAAAATTGTTCTACTGTTCTGTTACCGCATAAGAAACTTAATCAAAGCGAGGCAGAGCAAAATATGTTTAAAATTGATTACCATTCTCGTAAAAAACACTTGATTTCCATTTTAGTCTTATCGACATTCGAAACACTTCCTTGGATTTTCACTTCCGTTTTGTAGGGCGATATGTTTATAAATACTGCATTTTTTGATTGCAAATCGCGCAAAAAATCCCGACCAACTCTAAAAATCACAATGCACGCTATTAATCTTTTATGATAGAATGATCGAAATAACACTCTATTCACATCATACTTAATAGTTCATACCAGAATGTATGTGAATAAAAACTTTCAGCTCTCTGATTTCACGAATTTGCGGCACTACTACTTTTCAATTTCCAAGAAAACAAAACAGACCACTTACTTTGTAAGCAATCGATGACAAGGTAACTCTACGCCGTCTACTCTCTCACCATCTCTACATTTGATCGTACATCCATCGATTACCTTGTCAATTGTACCCTTAACTTCATTTACGGAACTGAAATGGATAAAATTAGCATGCAACGCAATCTTATAAAGAGGAAGCATAAAAAGTATCGTAATCCATCAAGAAAATCAAAAAAGAAGAACTTGCTCGAAATTCTCTCCAGAAATCGAGAGGTAGCGCACTTTGTTGCACGTATCGCTGTGGTACTCAAAATCAATATGTTCATGATCGATTCTATCATAAATATTTTTCAAATCATTAAAAATGGCATTGAAGAGAATTATCGAAACTTTCATTTGGTAACGAAACATCTCTTGCACATGGGCCTGAAATGATAGTATATATTTTCAGTTTAACACAACATTACTGATCAAGTGATTCTTCATAGTCTCACAACAATTCTGCGTTAAAAAGCTGTAATATTTCATGCCTTAAACTAACTAAAATTAATGTGCATGTAGATTATGCAAATTTATGTGAATGTAGATTATATAGACATGTGGATTATCGGACTGATATTCCAGTGATTGTGATAAGAAGATAAAGCACTATTACAGCTGAACAATAATTTCGCGTCAAAAGTTTGTAAAAAAAAAATAGAAAATTGAGAAAACGAACTTCGTGCATATGGTATTCTGATCCCATTTCTAAAATTATTCCATTTTCCGCTGCATCTTTCAATGCATTACCCACATGTATCCCTAGATTCATATCATAAAAAAGAACAAATGCCATAAATTCAATTTCACCAATATGTTTTGGTGCGCGTATCTTAACCTCGAATGGATAACCATTACCGCCTACTGAAATACGAATACTACTACTTAAATGATGATCGCTACCTTCAAATCACTAATACTCACAAAAATCATGCAAAATATTTTCAAATCACTAATATTCCAATATAATATAATCAGAAAAACGAGAGATAATACATGTGCTATGTAATTTATCAAAAAAAGTATATAATACTAATTTTTAAAAAGAAATCTGAAACATAAAATTTTGCGAACTTTACAGAAATTCCTTTTTTTCCTGTTTAAAAAAATTATTTATTTTTGACTAAAAATTCTAGTCTGTCAAAAGAACTTAAAGAAATACTTGTATCTTTCGCCACCCTTATAATATAGTCAGAGATTCGTCGAGAATGTTCCTCTAAAGCCCTGAAAAAAGAAGGCCCTAAAAAACTGATGAAGACATATGACTTTGTAGGTCAACTAAACGTACTTCTTATCTTCAACAGGATATCTCTTCTTTCGTACCACAAATACTTCATCAAATTCTATACTATAAGCATCCAACACCGGTTTCAAAATATGGAGCAGTTGTTTGTTGTCAATATTTAATGGAAGAGACTGCAACTTTATCTAAAACAAGGGAATTCGACAATTGTATAGAGATAATATCCCAAAAAAATACTGCCTTAACGCATAGAAAGAATAAAATTACAAACATTCTTTAAGTTAAAAACACACCTTATATAAATCGTCGACGCATATATTCGGATCTCTCTCCTATAAAAATAATAATTATTACACAAATGAACAATTGTGAACTGATCAGAAACACTTACCATGAAATCTTCGGATAACAGTGAAGGCCGAAAATGTTCAAAATGTTTTGCAATCACGTTGAAAGCGTACAACCTCTGACCAAAATCACGAGATTTCAACTGAAAAAAAGTGCAACATTTTTCACAACGCTATCGTTTCAAACCTATCAGATATAATTCATTTTAAAACCATTTTTCCTATAAGCAATTGAAAAGAAAAAGGTCGCAGAGAGTTCCAAAAAAAAATTAACTTCATTTCAAATACTATTAAAAAATAAATAGTGTGGGTCTGAACGGGAACTGATAAGTTATCAAAATCCTTTATTAAAATATAATCACAATTAAGATGGACAACACAAGTAACCTTTATGTGACCATAACCATAGCTGGGTCTACGCCACCACCTAATCAGTAAACGGTAAGCAGATGGAATGTAACTACCTCCTTTGTCCAGATATTTTTGTACAAAACGAGGCTAAAATAATCAAAAGTCAATGAAAAAGCAACGTAGAGTATGATTAAAAGAGCTTTGTATGAACGACAATCTAATCAAAAAACGACATACTGTATAAAATTCCCAAAAAAGTTGGATAATGAGCGAACAAAAACAAACTTCAATGTTGAAATCGCAACGGTTTTCATTGTTATAAATAAAAGCACGCTTGGCAACTTCCTTATTTTCCATGCTAATTAGGCACGAATGTCCAGTTTTTTTTTGATACTCTTCATCAAAAGTCACGAATTCGGTAATTTTCCCAAACTGTACAAATTTTGTTATAGGCAGGTATAATTTTCTCACTCGTATGTATATGACGAGTGAAAAAAAAAAACAATGGTATACAAAATAAATATTGCACACTACAAAAAAGAGCTCAGCATCTGCAGATCTATGCATCTTTCCTAAAAACTCCCAGAATATCACTCAGAATCGGTACCCGTTAAAGCAGCATTCTTTTTGATTAAACTTTTTTGGTAATATGAAAAATCAACTGTTCTACTTAAGTTATTTTATCTAGAATAAAGCAAACATTTGTGTGCAATTTATCGAAGAACAAACCTTGCTGAAGTATTGTTCTAACCTCATCCTATATGCGACATCATCTGCCCAGTTAGTGACACTTCGTCCAACATACATACTGCAGAATTCACCAGGCATTAGAATCTCCACTGGTGTACCGCTACCAGACATGCGCAGCTAGAAATGAGAATTAATGCAATACATTTTCAGCTTGCAGTTGAAAATTCATAAAAACTGTGTTATAACAATCAAGAAGTTAAAAAACTTAGTAATACTGACTACATAATCTGCATGCATTATAGGTACTTCCCTCGTTTTCCTGCATAATATATCCACTTTTTCTTTTGTAATCCGCTCAACAAAAGCTTTCAACTGAAAATACAGCTACAATTAAAAACAACTTGTTAGATCAATAAATATCCACATTCCCATCTGTCCAGAGCACAAATTTATGCTTCACAAAACTCACAGCATTATTTTCCAAATCAACATTGGTACCATGATTTTTTTACAAATATTTACATTTGATAATAAGAAATTTCATACCTTCGGAAGATTTCTAATTGAAACGTAAATTTGAAGTCTGTTGTATGGATCATCCAATGTCTTTCTCACAATACATTCCATTCCTATCTAAAGCAAAATTTACTGCAGCGATGAAGAATTCTATTTTTGATTATCTCACTCCCAATTACAACTCTATTTTAATACCACGATCCGAACACAAAAATCTTTCGTGTTCCTTTCAACAGTAAATATACAAAAAAAGTTATCCATCTGTCAACTTTTACTTAAATGAAAATTCAGGATGCATGTAATGCTGTGTTTCGCAACAAAAAATTTAAATATATGTATACCTCCTGCTGAAGAATATCCTTATGTGTCATAATCCATCTCTTTGTAACAGTTCCACATCTAATATTGTACGGCACCAACTTATTCTGCAACAAATTTCAAACATTTCCAAATCACAGAAATTCGCCACAACATTATAAACTTTCCAAAAAATCCATAGTGCAGAAGACATCACTGTTAAAATTAAAATATAGTATTATTAAATACTTGCAAATTTGGTCGAATGCACTCTATAAGAGTTGCTAAAGTAATAGCAGATTTTTCATTTTGTTTTTTTTTAATACAAGTAGGAAAAAAATCGATCGTAATGAAAAATGTAAGCCTTTTTTCTCATTTTTTAACGTTTTATCACTTCTCACTTTTATATGTTTTATCTAGTAATAAAAATGTGTTCGACGGTAAAATACAACATACTTTTCTTTCCTCCTCCAATACATTTTTATCAATTTCATCCAACCAAGAAGAATCTGCAGCGCACACATTCAGTATAAAGTCATTTGAGGTATGAACCGAACATTCATAGACGATAAATTCAGGAGTTATGTCGCCATATTTCAACGCTGATGAAGGATGAATCTGTAAGATTAGGACTGTCACCGTAAACTGAACTAGGCTGATCCACCATACTCACTTGGGATTGTTGTCAAAAGTGCAAATCCAGAATAGAACAGCATTCAAAAAATCATATGAATTCCGCATGTTTAGAAATGATAGGATATTCATGACTTGTTACACTTTCTCCAATTCCTAGTTGTTGGAGATTTTAGATCAATTTTAGAGTATAGTGCAACATACGAAAACGTATTTTTTCTCATTGAAATCATAATATCCACGTTCGGGTAAGCCGGAATATATTGCCAAATTATTTCCAAAGGATCGACAAAAAAGATTGGGAATAATTGCCCGTGCCTTCGAAATATCAATCTTCTTTATATTTGCATTGACACCCTAAATTAAATAAGAGGATTTTGTAAATGCATATGAATCTAATTTCTTTTCCACAGAGAGACACAGGAAAAAAATGCAAATCGTTAATATCAACCAACGAATTAAAAATTCAACAACAATTTGCAAAACACAAAAAAATACAAGAAGTGAATACACACTCACTGTAAGATCAGAAATAATTTTGCAGATCTTATAAGCAGTGTTAAACGCAGATTTCATACGGTTCGAATTTACATAATTCTTAAAACACCAATGATTGAATTGATTTTTTGGTGTTCTTAAGTATTCCAGGAATACCTAAAGAATAATTTGTATTTACAATAAAATAAACTAGCCATTCAAAATATTAGCTGTAGCAAACTGATAAAGCTATTATTATGTCAGCACATTATAATAAACAGTTCATTCTCCCCCCCCCCTCTTTCTATATCTGAGTGGTACCAAGTAATTGTTGGTAGAAATAAGACAGGAAAAGGAAATTAATACAAATAAATTCAGTAACGCACACAATTTAAGTCTCTTTTAAAATCTTTCGAAGGTTCATTCAAACTAATCCATTATTTATGCACCAAAAAATTAAACTTACCGCTAAAAATGTCATTGGATCACCACTGTCTTCACAAAACGATAGTTTCTTTTGATCTGCTAGAACGAACTCCTGAAAAGAAACAATCCAACAATTCATCATGCTTAACATGTATACGTCTTACATAACAGAAATCATATTCAATTCTTGTTTGACAAAACCTCACCAAATTGTTATCTCTTTTCGTCATTCAGCGAAATTAACAGTGCTTTTAATTTTAATCTTTCGTTAATATAAGTAGAAGACGAGGTAAAAACTAAGTGCTTTGCGGCACTTAAATGATAACGAAGTAATAATACTTAAAAAGGAAACAATAGCGTAGGGAAGGTATGTTTACAAACATGAAAGGAACTGTATCATCCATTTTTTCTACTGTTCTAGAAATCCTGTAGATAACACGAAATATATTGATTATGAAGTGAGGAAATCAAAAAATGCAAATACAGGATAATGAAGTCATTTTCTACTCGAGAAGTTCAAAACATTACGTTTCGTTTGTTTCCACGAAGAAAAAGCGACCCGACATGAATGCATGCGCAAACGACCGCTGCTTCAGCCACTGCGTCGTACTGCACAGAATCCAGGACCATTTTTGCTAGACGTGGTTCTACAGGTAATTGTTTCATCTTTTTACCCAGCTGGGTTAAAACTACCGTGGTTCCGCAACACTCAATAGCTTTAAGCGACCTGCAATATTTCACTACGCGAATATTCCATTAAGTCGCATCCCTTCAAAATCTGGAAAAACCGCCTCCAAAAACATACCTCAAAAGTGCCATCGAATGCATCAAAATGCTTGAATCCGGTTTCTCAATGAAATCAAACTCTGAAGGGGTAATACCAGCTGCTATCATATACAACAATACTTCAGTAAGGTTGGTGAGAAGGATGTCAGGAACGTTTGTGGGTTCCATTTCTTCATACTGCTCTTCCGAGTAAAGGCGATAACAAACCCCTAAACAAAATTCAATCACAGCTAGCCATAAAAGAAATGGTAATTTGTGTGCACTGGAAAAGTAAGTATTAATCAGTGTCTCTTCAAACTAAGCTAACATAAGATTAAGTGTTTTCATCTTTTGCGCAAGTGGATTAATAAGTTAATTTTCGAATTAACTTTCTACTTGTTATGCAAGAAGTCCATTTCCAAAACACTCATATATGATAAACGTTTCCTATTACTTCGACCCAAATCCATCGGTTAAAAAACTGGAAAGTGTTTGAATGATAAATTTCCCCTCAAGATAAAAGATCATAGTAGAAAAAAAAATCATAGCAGAAAAATCTTTTAAAACCTGGTGCTGTTCTTCCAGCTCTTCCAGCTCGTTGTTTTGCCGCAGATTTCGATATTAAACCTAATTCTAAAACATTCTTCCGCCGGGCAACGTCAAATTTTTTTACCTAAAAGAAAATCATTTGAGATCTTATATCAGAAACTAAAACGATTTTCGCCTTTTTTTCTCTTTTGAGATTGCAAATATTTTGGACGGAGTAATGCGGTAACCTTCGCTAAGCCGCAATCTATAATGTATCGAACGCCTGGAATAGTAATCGAAGTTTCGCCGATATTTGTTGCAAAAATAACCTGAAATGAAATTTTTAGAATAAAAATGCCATGCTAATAAGATAATAATAACAATAAATCAAGAAAGCTTGCAAAAGTCTGACAACCTTATGATGATATTCAGATTTCAAAGGAGCGAAAACTTCAATTTGATCTTCAACTGGCATATTCCCGTACAATGTCATGATTTTCACTTTCACACTATGATTAAGTTCCGTTAGTCGCCTGGAGAGACGTTCCTCGGCTATCAGTGTTTCAAGAGGACTAAAAATATCTTAAGAAAAGTCTTCGGCAAAAATAATTTAAAGGAAGACAATAAATGCATAATACCATAATAAATACTAGCATAAAACGCTTATTTCTCAAGAGAATTACACTGCGGTTATTTTTGGATCAAATAAAATAGCTTCGAACTACATAGTTACTAGATACCAAGTACAGTTCATTGACAGATACTTGAAGAAATGAGAAAAAGATATCAAAAATTTGACTACAACAATAATTGTCATACTTTGACAAAAAAGCCATGATGTGTGCTGCATGTGTTTCCAAGCTATCCTCCGAAGACGTGTCATCAAAAGGCTGTTTCTTAGCCTCACTCTCACAAATATTTATTACTTTTTCCACTGTTCGGTTGATATAATCCCACATCAAGCTTTTAATTCTGAAAGAAGAAACTAATTTCGAAAAAAGTAGACCAACGAGATGAAAAAGTCAAAAATACCTTGAAACAAATTATTAAAAAGTCTTGTAAAAGACTAAAAGTCTAGCTATATTTGCGACTGAGAAACCAAAAAGGGCAAAAGCGGATGCAATAGTAAAATAATAAATACAATGGAGTGATTCATAGAATAAGTTATATGATTGAAATAAAGCATGTGTTTACTTGAACCAGGAACCAGAAATGTCTATGTGCTGCCTATGAAATGCGCATAAAAAGGATAATTTCGAAGACACAAATTAATTTTTATAATCTCTTGAAAAATATTTCAACTAACCCCTTGCATCCGGAGACTGGTGGCTCGTAACAAATCTTGATGGGGTATTGACGTCCTGAAACTTCCAGTTTTTGTGCTTGGAACTCAGCAAAATACTTCAATAGCGGCTCTGGATCCATTGTTGCAGAAGATATCACCTAAAATAAGATTTAGTAGATTAGGATTTATGAAAAGAGAATATTTAAATAACAACGGTCTATCACAAAATTTTTAATGAAACTAACCAATTTCATATCTGGGCGCAATCTGAGTACTTTCTTCATCATTCCCAGACACATATCAGTAAGGGCAGTCCTTTCGTGCACTTCATCAATTATAACGCATCCAAATTGCGACAACTTGTGATCCTGTTGTATGCAATCCAAAAGATACTTTTCTGTTATAAAATTTATTTTTCCATTCAGATTAGGTCTCATCCTGAAATACATTGATTGGTGCAAATGACATCACTACCACGCAAATTAACAATGAGACAATACCTCTTGATGTAACTACCTGAATTTTAAAAAGACACAGCAAGTATCGCAGCACATTCTAACAATACACGCTGCAATTAATCTCTCAACCGCATATACCATCAAATGTTGTAAAAAATTATTTCATTCCGAAAAATGTGAAAGCTTACCCATCTTTATATATGGGGACGTTAACTAAACAATGGTTATTCAGTGATGTCTCCTTCGCCACTCTTATGGCCAGTTCCCATACAGCAGTCTAAAAGAATGTTTATATTTCCTTCTATGAGCAATTTCTTTCACATTACATCTCTAGAAAACGATGTTAAGGAAGAAACCTTGCGTGGTTGACAGCATAGAACTTTTTGCGAAGCGGTAATGATTCCATCGAACACTATATATTGAGGGATCTGTGTACTTTTACCCGAGCCAGTATCTGCCACAATAAACAATACTCTTCCCTAAATTTGCAGTTTAAAACAAATTAAAAAAAAATCATTGGTGACAATAACAATCAAACCCTAAGCCCTGTTCAATGAACAGGGTTTCAACGGCAAGATACGGGTAACCATTTATTATTCTCGATAATAATAGAACCATTGGAAATTAAAATTAAAATAAAATCACAAAATAGAAAAAAGCACATCAACCTGATTACAAAGAATGTTTCTGATATCTTTTCTGATGTCATATATCGGCAATCCCTGAGCAAAACGTTCTATTTCATGGTTCATAAGTCTAAATCACTAATATTTATTCCATTATTGAGCTTGATACAACAATGAATGAAATGTAAGTGTTGAAAAGCGATAGAAAAAATCTATGGTGACTAGTAAAGGTCACCTCAATTCAATGTTTCCCACAACAAAGATAAAATTTCCTCTTCTTGCAGAACTGGAAAGCACTAATGAAAAATGAACTCATCAATTATGAGATGCTTAGGAAAAGAACTGATTAGCTGCAAAAGATTCTTTTGTAGTTTGTGATTACTAACTCGGTAATCAACGTTGCGGCAATCGGTAACTTTTTCAGCTTTTGAACATGTTTTGTGTGTATCTCGCCAAAAATGTTCATTCTGCGGTTTCGTTTTAAGATCTAAATAATTGCTGACTTGTCAATTTATTTTAAAGACTTTAAGAAAAACGAAAACTATGAAATAGGTTGCGAAATCTTCAGTGCTTACGACAATATAGTGAATATAAAAATACGGGGGGAACTACAAAAAAATTACTTCTTTCTCGAGAAAATCGCAATAATCGGTGTTACTAGGTTCATGTTCTTTAAGCTTTTCTAATCTTCCCGTCTCGTAAATGAATTTACCACGAATACGATATACAAACTGTTGCCAGGGTGGACACGGGATCTGCAAATATTCAAATAAATAAATTCATGTGTGTGCCTAGAGCATTAAAAAATTTAAAAAATACAAACCATTTTTTGACCACCACGATTGACATTACATAACTCATTTGCACTTGTTTCCGAAAAAGTAAAACTCTCATTCAAAGCTGAAAAACAAAAAGATTAGCAATCAGATGTATTTTGGTACTCAACATTGTACACATGGAATTGTTCTTATTTATAAACAATCTACAATCAATAATACAAAATGAAAAAATTCTGATAAACAGCAGTAAAAAATGATCGAATAAATAAGCAAAGTAAAAATAATAAGTCGCTTAAATTATGGCAAAAAAACAGACACATTTTCGTAACCTATTTCTTTGCTTAAGAAGTTCCCATTTTTAATGCAATTAATAGAAAACAGCGTTGACAAAAATTCACTTCATAATTTTTTTCATTCTTAGAAAAAGCTTACTACCACTGTCTACGTCGAAAACCTGGTCTGTAAGCACCAATTCCAAATATCTCGTAGAAAAAAAGTCATTAGTGAAGACAGGAGGTTCGCCATAAGCTGCAATGTTATTACAAGAGAGAAAAAGAAATTGGTTTAGCAATGTAATCAAGATTTTATCTCATTTAGGAATGCAATCACGATTTTTTCTTTTTTATGTCCTTATTTGAACTCCAAGTAACTGGACTACTTCACGTATTCCTAAAGTATATCAAATTTACTGTTTTGTAATGGATTTCAGGCAAGAGATATAGCCAACCTTTCTGTTTTGATGATCGAGACTGAGCAGTAAAATCATCAATTTTATCCTCTCTGTGAATTTGAAGAGGGAAATATTCTGAAGTCCGAAATAAATAATCAAACTTGCTGTTGTGACCATGTACACTGAGATTCTTCAAAATTTGAATATTGAAAAAGTAAGAAAAAAGATTATTATACTTATGCTACTTAATTTAAATAGTAAAGCTTTCTCAAGACAAATTCCCCGCTGCTCAAATTTTCCTACAGTATAAGAGTCACAAGATGACGAAGTATCCTTCAATTAGATAAAAATGTCATAAGGCAAAAAGAAAAGGTAACAAAAGGAGAACAAGATATGAAGTCTAATGATTCAATTCCTAAAACGTATAAATCTCGGAAATAAATTCAGAAACAGAATCACCATGTATTCGTGACTGTAATCAATATTTGCTAATAAATGCGATTCTGCACATTTTGAGATGCTTTCAATATCACGGCTGTTACTGTAGTCATGACCATTAGTCTAGAAATACCACTTTAGTTAACCACTTCATTTATATCGTTATAAAAGGCGTCTTCTAAATACTGCAACGACTAATTAATACAAAACAAAAGCGAACTGTAAGAAAAAGCATACTCTATTTCTTTTAATAGTGAATTTTTAGATGAGAAAGCATAAAGTTAATTAAAATAGAGTGTTTCGAAAGGGTTTAAATTCGAAGTCAAAAACCTATTTTACTCGGCTGGTCTTGTAATGCGATACTTTAGGGTAAATTTTCTGAAAGATAACTTTTCTACCTTCTTGACATCTGTACAGTTACGTTCGGCAGCTGAAGTCCATTCCCGTATTTGCTCCTCCATCATCTATAATATCATGACAAATACGATTAATAAAAAAAGCTTAACCATCATAATTCTTTTCTACTAGTTGAAATCGAAATGCATACAAGATATTTATTCGCAATCTGTTCCGCAGATTCACCCGCTTCTCCGATTTGTTGTTTAAGCTGAAAATTATATTAAATGAAAAAATGATAAAAAATCAATATCTTCTGCTACACATTTAGGCCAATGATATCATAAAACGAATGTTATAACACAACAAAAAAGCTTATTGAATAAAATCTTACCGATTCCATTTCCTTTGTGAAATATGATTGTTGCTGATGAGCAGTCAAACAATTCAAAGTACCTAAGACATAGGGATGATGTATATCTTTATTATAATATGTACACTTTACTTTAGTGAGGAAAAAAAAGAATTACTGATGGCAACGATGATCATATTGTTATCAATATAGAAATGCTGGGCACATTTAGTAAACTTAACCAAATTATGATTCACCATACATTCCAACCTAACATTTCACAAACTATCTGGCAATTGAGAATATACAAAACACTTTGATAAGATCGGATGTATAGCGACAGTATTAATTAAACTGATTTCAAAAAAGGTATCAAAAATCATGACAGCTAACAGTCAAAAAAACGAAAGATTTAATAGCATGCTCACATGATTTATCCCAGACAGATTCGGGTCGGTAAGAAACGATTTCATTCTTTTCCAACCCGATTTTTGTACATCGTGACTTGAACATATTTGTTAATTCTTCATCATCCATTTCACCAAATAATACTATCTTCACTCTGCAAATATCACCAGTTCTTCCCAAGATCACAAAGTTTCTCAATTCTTCGCTATGCGAAAAATAAAGTAGAAAAATATCAATCACGGATTGATCGCTGTAATTGGGAAGCATAAAAGTTAGAATCACTATAAAACCTTCCACTCCACTCAAAATTAATAATTCGAAACTTTAAATCGATTTTGCCTGAAAGGAGAACTAACTGAAAACGTCCTCATTTCAAAAATGACTCATTTAGGAAGACTGCTATTTCATCGACTCGACTCTTACTGATCAAGTCTCAAACTTAACGCAGCAATTAAGAAATCCATTCCATCCCGTCGACGTCACACGCAAACACATAAGACCTGTGCGAAACTTTCCTTTCAGACTTTTCGTAAGTAATGAATTGAATTCGAAACTTGATTCTTAACTATCTATTCTTGATCGTAACATAAAAATTTCATTCGTCGCTTTTTTTCGCAAGGTCTGGCAGAATAAGCGGAATGATCTATATGGATAGGTGTTAAGTATCATATACTTTGGCCATTCCATATGTTAGTGAATATCTGCCTAAGCGATCGTTACATAGCCTAGTACCCTAAACTAAATATAAAAAGATCAATTTCAGGCTAGTACAATAAACTGGACACAACATAATCATGGGAAGCAATTACATGTGGATCGTTTCAGCAGGCAACGAAAGGTTCTGCAAAGTATTACTTAAGTAATCCATCTTATTTACACTTTTCATGGCATGAATCATTCCCACTAACTGTTGAAGAAATCACTGCTACTGAAATTGGGTGACATCAAACTATTGTTTGTTTTGAAAGTTTACTTTTAGTATATTATGGAAATTTATAACGCACACAGTGAAGCGAATGATCGAAGAGCAAAGTAAAGAAGAGGTTGTGTATCGATAATGGAAGCGGAAAAGTAAGAAGAGTAAGAAGCTTTTCAGCTTTTCGAAGGATGGAAGAAAATGTTTTGAGAAGAAAGGTTGGAGATCAGCTGGACAGTAATATTACTAACTGTATAAATTATAGTCTACAAATGCATTTTCCCTCACGGGAACCTGCTTCTGAAAGATCCAAAAAGGTATATGCAAATATGTTATTATGGTTCACTTTGATTCCGGTAAATTTCCTCTTAAAAATTTAATATATGGAATTTTCACGAAATATGCATGCCATGTTGTGAGAGAAATGCAGTATGAATAGGAAAGAAAGCAGACACATTGTGAAATGTTCCGTAATTTGACCACTCTGTATGGAGGGGAGACATGCAGCGGACGTGAACACATTCTATCACGTAGTAGAATTTACACATACATTATCGCTCTTTGTGTCCTTTTGATTGCGAAAATGGCATCATATTCCTTCCATAAGAAAGCTAAATTCTTCAAGAAAAAATTATAATTGAAACCCGAAGAGTCAAAATGATTGCTCTTTTGTGACTGTTTCATTAATGAAAATTTATAACAGATTTTATTTTTTAACAACTTAAGCAAATCCTTACAGATATTCATTCCTGTTATGTCTGACAGCAATATAAACCAAATAAATAATTCCTACCATCCAATGAACAGGATAAGTTCGATAAATCCATTCACA